TTTAACTTTATTTTTGAAATGTATTTATTTTTCTGAATAAATGTATTTTTTCAACTATTTAGTTTTTTCATAATGTCATTATAGGGATACTACATTTGTCATTTTAAAAGACATTTTAAAAAGCACAGAAGTGTGAAGACTTTACTGACTGTTGTCGTTGCTTATCTCATTGCACAAGCCAATAATGAGCCATCTTCAAATGATTGATGACTTTTTTATTATTATTTTTTTTTATATTATTAAAATAATAAATTGTATTTTCTGTTGTGGATGTCCCAATTGGGATACAGTATTTGCAATTTTCAGAGAGTTTAATTAAATCTTCATGTTATATTTTGCTTGTATTTGTGAGTTAATTCAAGACACTACAGGTAGTAATAAAAAAAAGAGTTAATTATTTCAATTAATTACAGTACATTTTGACAACTGTTTTGTATTGCAAGTACTATGTAATACATTTCCAGAAATCTAAACATTGGATTAAGCCAGGATCAATATGCTCACCATATAAAGGCGTTTTTACCAACAAAATGACTTATTTTTTCTATTTCAGATTTCAAATAATATAATGTATAATAAAAAAATTAAAATTTTTTCATTAAATGCGAAGACTCTTAATTCAAGCTTGTTAAATTAACTTGAGTCAGTCAACCGTGTAATTTTAGCGAAAATTACTATTACAATGCACAAATCATGGTAAACGGCATTGCACACACATTACCTTCATGCCTGGATTTGTTGGCTGCTCTCTTGGCTGCAGACGGCAGGTTGAGCAGACAAACCGAACTATGTGATTTGAAGATCTTCTCCAGGTTTGCGCTGTCTGCGATCATGGGCTTACGAGCTAATGTGACCCAACCGCTAGTCTTGGTGGGAAACACTCTTTTATGAGACACCATTTCTGTTAAGACCATAAAGATCAAATCAGAAATTTGCAGATATCACCAGCGCAATAAACGCGCACACACACACACACACACACACTCTCACACACTCTCACACACACACACACACACACACACACCAGTGTGAATCATTTGTTACTGATCCGGTTTTCAAGTTCAACTCGCTGGCTCAGTGATACGGTTTCAGGGGTTAACAGCCCACTGGAGGTGAAAATTATCAGTGAAATATGGTTTAAATACCAGTTTGTTTGTCAGACAAACCATTTTATGGCTTTATAGGTCTTGGTCTAATCCCATGAGTCATACAGACTACTTTTATAATATTTGAATGATATTTTATGGTGCTCCAGTCAACATTTATTGAAAGAAAGAGTCATACAGGTTTGGAACAACATGAATGTGAGTAAATTATGACAGGATTTTTATTTTGATGTGAACTATCCCTCTAATGCAATTTAACGATTTAAAAGACTGCTTAATGTGATTTAGAGATTAATTCTTATTTAGTGCAGCGAATGCAGATGGCTGGTCTTGATAAGTAGTCAGGGACGGATTGACCTCTTTTCGTGACATAGGCAAAACAAATTTTTGGGCCCCCCTTCCCTATTAATATAATAGGCCTAATATTACCACCCAAGCAAACAAAAATATTTCTTAATCAGTGGAAACCTTTACAGTGTTTTCTATCACAATAAGCGCTTGCGTTCAGTCAATAAAAATCGAATGTAGTTCTTAATTTGTTTGAGAACTGAGAAAGACCGTTCCATATAGGCGCGGCGTCGTGGCCACATAACCACTTCGGGAGTGCATTATTTCTCTAATAATTTTAACGGCCTGGAGTCACAACCACACATCAAGACATTGTTCAGATGATTTGTTTCAAGACATCTGACATGTTTCCGTTATTTATTTTTTTTTGCACCTCATCCCATATTTTTTTTTGCACCTCATCCCAAACCTTCCGTTGCAAATTCCAAAACGCATTTTAGAGCTAATAACGGAGGCTTGAGCCATTTATATGCAGGCTAATGCAGTTATTAATGCAGTCTAATGCGGTAATGAGAGAGAGAGAGTGAGAGAGAGAGAGAGAGTGTGTGAATACCTGAGTCTGTGCGTCTCTCGGCAGTGTTCAGCAGCAGCGTCTACTAATAGCGAATCTTTAAGTTAAACTGCTTCAAGAACCTCATTTTAGACCTAATAACAGAGGCTTGAGCCCTTGATATGTAGGCTAATGCAGTTATTAATGCAGTCTAATGCAGTTATTAGAGAGAGAGAGAGAGAGAGAGATTAAGCGCGTGTGAATACGTGCGTCTGTGCATCTCTCAGCAGCGTCTACTAATAGCGAATCTTTCAGTTAAACTGTTTCAAGAACCTCGCTACTGAGAAATGTCATGTAGCTTTTCAGTTGCGAAACTATTTTATTGATAAATTTGCGGGGCAGCGCTGACATGAAGTTTCTGTTCGCGTCTCCGCGTGTGCGTGTCTGCACTGTGTGTGCGTCTGTGAGAGAGACTGGGAGAAAGAAAGCGTGATTTCCGTAGCCTACATAAAAAAGGTGGAAGACATGGAAATAGTTTGTCATTTTTTACCCTATTTTTGTTATATTTATTTGCTCAATGTCTTCTGGGGTTTTGGTTCTTTTACTGTTGTAGATATCCCATAGTATAACAAAAATATTATATATCTCTTCATTGTGTTTGGGCCCCCCTGGATGAGCGAGCATAGGCATGTGCCTAGAATGCCTATGCGTAAATCCGGCCCTGCACAGAGTTCAGTTGATCTCACCTTTCAGAGAGCTGCAGTAGACTGGGTTGAGCTGAGTGTCCTGATCCTGATCTCCATGAACATGGGTCTTGCATTTATCAGCTTTGAGAGAGACAGAAGCACATCAGAGAACATCCAAACAGCAGTTAATGGATGGTTAGGCTGGATATCATTTGGTTTTTACCTAGTTTGGCGAAGACGACAGAGACGTCTTGGACAACATCTCCTGTCGCAAGAGGAGATGCCTCACAAACAGCCTCCAGCAGAGACACGTACTGCTTCATAGACGGACTGGGCTGCACACTCAGAGACTGCAATGATCATAAAGATTCCTTAGGATTCATTTATTTCACTATTTGCCATATTAAATTGCACTTGATTTGGTACCATCTAAATTACGTAGCTGAAATTAGTAGGGACTTATGAAATTCAATTATTTTCCTCTACTTCCATGTTGTCCATTTAATTTTTTTCTGGATTCTGTTTTAGTGGTGTAATTAAATCTTAATCAAAGATCATGTCTAACCAAAGCAAATGAAGAATTTTTTTTTTTTTGTGTGTTTAAAAATTACAATTTTTTTTCCAGAAATTCTGTGTTGTTTGTTTGAATTTTTCTGGATTCTGTTTTAATGGTTTAATTAAATTGTAATAATCAAAAAGCATGTCTAATCAATTAAATCAACTAAATCAAAAATTAACAATAATAGTACCCTATTAAACATGTTTTTTATTTTTTTTCCAGAAATTCCATGGTGCCTGTTTTGATTTTCTGGATTCTGTGTTTTATGATTTAATGCAATTTTATTATTAAAAAATGTGTTAATTAAATGTACAAAAACCTTAACAACTTAATTCATCTTTCAGAACGTAAGCAAATGAATTTTTTTGGCAAACAAAAAGAGGTTGATTGTAAAAACATGGATCAAAAATTGTGAGATATTCCTTACAAATAATATTTTTATTATTAATTATTAAAATATATTTAATTGTAAATATTACTTTGATAAAGTACATTCTACTGTACAACACTAATATATTTCAATCATAATTGGATATCTACTTGTGCATGCTCATTTACTCCGTTTTTACATTTAGATTTCCTTTGCTGTCATCTGATGCTTACTGAAAGTTAATCTTTAAAAACAATAATCATTTAATAACACTGTTAAACGTAATCGCAAATCTCAAAATAAATATCCATTCACCATACTGTACATTACAAGGTTGTCATGTCTACATTTACAACTGTTATTAATTCACAAAAATACTCAAATTTAATAATGAAAATAATTCCTGGTTTCGGCCAGATTTTAAAGACAAAACCTAGAACAGACCTTGAAAAATTTCTTCATGTCCTCCAAATGATTATAAAACGGTGCCAGGACTCTGGGCTCCTGTATGCCGCTGTCAGCCCGTCGAATCAGCTCCTTGTATCTGTGAAACATGCCTGTCGGATCAGACCAGCAAACCTCCTTAAGATGATAGAAGCGCCCAGAGCACCAGTCATCCTTCCTGCATGAGAACAGAGGAGCACAGCTGTTCATGCAAGGTAGTTCTGAAGGAATCTGAGGGTTAAATCCCACATCTGTATATCTGACCTGTCATACTCGATGAAGACAGCAGGTGCATGCTGGAACAGGTCTCGGAGCTTGATGCTAGTGCACTCGGCGGACAGGTATCGATACAATGTATGGATGTGATCGATTGTAGTAGTGAAATCTGCTCCTTCAGGATCCTCAGACGGATTATCAGACACCTTCACGCACCAACGCTTCAGATAGCCAATCATGTCCTCCACATGCACAGTGTGTCTCATTCCTGCATTAACATCAAACATCAACAGAGAGATTTTTTTATTGTATCTTACAGCATTCTCTTCAGCTCATCAAGGCTGTATTTATTCAATCAAAAAAACAGTAAAAATTGTGAAATATTATTACAATTTAAAATAGCTGTTTTCTATGAGAATCTAAGTAAAAATGTAATTTATTTCTGTGATGCTGATATTTTCAGCATCATTACTCCAGTCTTCAGTGTCACATGATCCTTCAGAAATCATTCTAATATGCTGATTTGCTGCTCAAGAAACATTTCTGATTATTATCAGTGTTGAAAACAGTTGTGCTGCTTCATATTTTTGTGGAAACTGAGATACATTTTATTTTTTCAGGATTCTTTGATGAATAGAAAGTTCAAAAGAACAGCATTTATTTGAAATATAAATCTTTTGTAACATTGTAAATGTCTTTAACGTCACTTTTGATCAGTTTAATGTGTCCTTGATGAATTAAAGTATGAATTTCTTTATTTAAATGTATGCATGCATTAATATTTATATTTTAATAATTATTTCTGACTCCAATCTTTAGAAAAGTAGTGTATGCACCAAAAAAATTAGGGCAAAATTAGTCAATTTCCTTTTTTTGTGCATAAATTAATTGCACATATAAGACTATAAATGCATTAAGTATGCATTTATGCATTACTTAAGTATGCTTAAGTATGTATCAAGAAAATTAAAAGGGTTTATTTTGATTCCATATTGACTACAAATCAATACTGTCTTAACACGTGTAATACTGAAGCTATGAGCTATTAAGATCACATACTGATCAGTAATTATTATGGTGTTTGTTACAGGTTTTAACTCGGCCCAGTCTCATAATACAGAGTTGATTTTAATTCTGAAGATTGGTAATCCGTACCTATGGCTCTGGTGAATTCACTGGGCATCTGAGCGCCGTGCGCGTAATCGACGTGGGAGCCGAGGAGCTGGTGCACTTCTGCAGAGAAGATGTAGACAGATTTGGGCTGTAGGTAGGAAACGGGCCGGCTCTCGTCCCACGGCGGTCTGCGCGAGGGAACCCAGGACAGCTGCGTGAGGTGATGGTAGAAGGAGGATCTGGCCTCCCTCACGGAGCGGCCCTGACTGTCACAGACCTGAATCCGGAGGTACTGCGAGTACTTCTCTCTGTAACAACACGACAGGCTCTCATGTACAAGAGGCTTTACATCAATAAATAAGAGATTGTCCCAAGCATTTTAATGCAAAGGGCCAAAATCAAACTTGATTGAAGTAAATGTTGCATTATATCCAACTATTTTATACTAATGCTTATTACATGTTTATCATTAAAAAATAAATACATTTTTTTAATGTTTTTTTTATTTTTTTATTAAATTCACTTACATTGTGTTTTACATTGCAATGCAAAAATAAAATAAACAATTAACATATTTCTATTGCATTTTCTTAACTGGTTACATGCAAAAAACAAAACAAAAAAAAAGTGTTATTCAGAAATGAATAACTTTTATGAGTAGTTTAATAAATTGGTCAAAAAGATTCTCAATTATGAATTAGTTATTCATTTTAATAAATTGGTTGCTAATTCCATCAGAACTCAGAACTTGTTTTTATGACTGTGTTTACTTAAATTCATTCACATTTTGCACTGTTAATATTTTAATTTTGAAAAGTTTAAATGTGGAACAGACCAGTGCTAGTGTTATTTTAATATCATTGATATATCATCATAGCTTGATAATATTTTAATTAAGATTTTATTTCTATATTTTGTTTTATTTCAATTTTAGTTAGATTTTTAGTAATTTTGTTATTTCATTTTTATTACTTATTTTTAATGTCTATATATTGTCTTTTAATCAGTTTTCATTTGTTTGGTGTTAATTATTGTAGTACTTTAGGTTAAACTAAATGAAAATGAGATATGTTGCAGAAATATGGCAGAAGAAATAACATTCAATATAATATTCAATTTAATTATCAAAATAGACTTCAATAATAAAAAATTACATATTTTTACATTTTTTAAATTATTCAAATTCACATATATATATATATATATATATAGTAATGAAAAAGTAATGAAAATGTGCTTCAGTGGCATGATCTTCCCATTTCCCCCCTCCTCTTGTGATATGGCATGGTGGGCCAGATCAGAGGTAATGGTTTGGGAATCTCTAAATGCATAAAATGGTGAATAATCTGTGTGCAGTTCGGCTCACAGTGTAGTACAAGCAGCACATTTGCTGTAAAGCTGGCCAAGCGGGTGGACGTGGTTTTGCTTAATAATGCAACTGGAGCATAAAGCGGGGTGCCATGAGGTGGTTCAGCCGAGGCCAGCAGACAGAGGACAGTGTGATGAGTCACACCGCAGCAGTTCAAACAAAGCATTTGCATCTGAACAACCGGTGCTGTACGTCTCCACGAGAGAATTATAAAACCAAACCACCAAGAATAGATTGATGCATGTTTCCCAAATAGCATCTGACGTGGTTTTGCAGTCATCATACAGTCCATTAAATAACCGGGCCAAATCCGTTCATGTCAGCCCAAACAGAGCACATTTTCTCCTTTTTTAAAGCTTATGAGATCAAAAAAGATAAAACGCAGATGGTGACCTGCATGCCAGACTAATATCCATTTCCTACACAGCCGCAGCCAGAGAGTCTGAATAATCTGGACTAGAGAGCTGTTAGCGGTAAATGTGGCAGATTGAGCGTAAGTGGAGTGGATTTCTCCACAAGCAGCTGTGAATCGTGAAGGATTAAGGCATTACGTCTGAGTTTAACGGCTTGGTGTTTTCCTGCTATAGTGACATGAGAGTGAAGCACAATCCAAACAAAAGCATTATGACAGCATTTCCTGTGTTGCTATTTGTCTGCAATGCTCCACCGCTGATAAATGTCAAAACCACGCAAAAGAAATAGTTTTTAACCCGAGTTGTGAGCTTGTAGTCTAAACTCAATGTGATGAGGGAAAAAAAGTTAAAAGTTATGTAAAAAATAACACGTCTAAATATGCAAAAACAATCATACAGCATGACCAGTAGAGTCTAATTCATCAACAAAACAGCTGATTCTTTTCACTGGAAAACTCTGGTGTTATTAGTTTGAATTATTCGGACATTAAAATATTAAAATTTCATTGCTAAAATTCTACACTATTCTGTCTATATATATATATATATATATATATTATAATAACATCATAATGTACAGTATACAAATAATATTTTTTCATTTATTAAAGATTACATTTAACAGTATTATTAAATTATTAGTATTAAGAGACAGCAAAATAATTATAATTAATTTTTATAAATAAAAAAATAATTTAATTAAAAATAATTAAAACTGAAATGTGTGTGTATAAATACATACTTTTAATAAAATTATTAAGACTAGAGTATATAAAAAATGGTCATGGCATATATTACAGTTTTTTTTTTAATTAAGTGCTGATACACTGTGCAGCTATTTTATGTATGTAATATGAAAATAAATAAATAATTTATTATAAATATTTTTATTATACATTTTTCATATTATATACGGAGTAATAAGATTATAATGTACAGTATAATTTTTTATATTTATTAAAGATTGCATTTAACAGGATTATTAAATTAGAAGTATTAGAAAGTATTAGAAGACAACAGAGATCATTTAAAAAAATATATAAAATATCAGTTCCGGGCAGATATTACAGATTTTTGCCTTTATATGCATGTATTATAATAGTTGTAGTGTGTAAGAAATACTTAGAAGTGTATGTGTCTGTGTATGTATAACTAAATGAATAGTTAATATGGAGCTTGTATTAACAGTGCTGATTTACCCAGTGTCCCAGTTCTTGTCCAGAAGGCTGATCAGTGCTTGTCTCTGCTGTAGTTTGCTGTCAGCGGTCAGATGATCTGCAGTGGCCAGCGTATGAAACTCAACGCAGTGCTGATCCTCGATGACATACAGTCCATCTGTGGGCCTGGACCACGGCTTGCTCTCCACTGACCACGGGCTGGACGCCTGACACACACACACACACACACACACACAGTGTCTGGATGAACAGTCAATGCAGATTTACTAACAGATACTGCACTCTGACCTCTGAGCCTAAGATGTTTGCAGTACAAATACATATACAAGACACAACACATCTTTCTAATGCATTTTCTAGTTAAATGCATTCACATTTTTATATTTTCTGTATTCATTTTAATTTTAAAGTTTTATTTGATTTTTATTTACTTTTTTAAATGTCTATACAGTTTTCATAGGCTTCAGTTTTAAGTTTGTTTATTTAGGTTTATTTATTTTAGTACATCAATTTAAACTTTTTTTTTTTCATTCCAGTTAATCTTTATTTTGTAAACTAACCAATATTGTGTGAATATTTGAATGTTTTAATTGCCAATAAATGTCATTTACTGTTCTAAATACAAAGTATGTTAGGACAGTACAATACTGACACTTTAGGACAGTTAATACAAAGCTAAATACACAAATCCTTTTTTATACTGTACATCATAATTTTGATTTCTAATAACTTTTAAAATGACTTATTTTAGCTTTTAGTGGTTTATTTTTAATGCATTTAGGCAAAATATACATTTGAATTTAATTTTAATTAATACACTTAAATGTTTGAATTGATTACATTTTTAATAAGGAAAGTAATAAAAAATAATTTTAAAAAAAGTTGCATTCTATGGTGCAAAATTTTTGTAACACTGATTTTACTGGTTTTATTTATGTATTTAGACAAAATATTACACATTTTAAAATTTTACTTTAAATTGCCAAATGTTTTATTTAAATTTTACATTAAATTTTTTATTAATTAAATCTTAATTTTAAATGTTATAAATTATATGGTGCATATGGTGATGCTATTGTTATAACATTGATTTTAGTTTTTAGAGTTTTATTTTTTTTATGTATTTAGACAAAATATTATAATTTTTACATTTTATTTTAATTACTACATTTTAATTATTTACATTTTAAATTAATACATTTTACAATTTAATTATTACATTTTAATTTCAAATTGTATAAATTGTATCAAATCATGAAGATAATGATTGTATTATCAGTACAGTCCAGACTTTTAACCAAACTAGTAAAAAGTGGACTGTGGTTTCTTAATATGACCTAAGCACTGAGATGATGTGTGTGTGTGTGTGTGTGTGTGTGTGTGTGTGTGTGTGCGGGCAGACGCGAGCGAGAGAGAGCGAGAGAGAGAGAGAG